AAGTGGCATACTACAATATTTACTTCACGTCATGGAAACTGAAACATACGGTTAGACAGACCTCTTGTGTTCACGCGGCTACAGCATGAAATCTTGTTTGCCGCCAGCGCATTTACTTCCCACAGTGAGGTGCTTCCATGCAGCGCCCTGTTTGGACGGCAACCAGCGATGCTGCCCGATGTGCCTGTTCTGGATCATGAACAGCAGACAGAGACATCCGATCACTCTCGAGAACAGGTGATCCTCCAGGTATGCATTGAGGCCATCACACAAGCTACTGCAGTAGCCAGAACCAATCGTGCACTGCGTACCAAGACGACTATCACTGGTCAGCACGACTCTGATGATGGAGATTTGGTCGACTATCATCGTCCCGCGACTACGAAGGACGGCCGGGGAGGCTGGAACGGCTTTTTCCATGTCGTACGGAACGACCCCGACAGGGGCCAAGTTATTATCTGAGTGGGAAACCGCGACGAACAAGTTCAGTGCGGCGACGCACGACATTCACTATACATCGAAGCTTTGATCGCCCGAGAGATTGGCTCGGACAGCGCTGCGCTACGGGCGGTGTTGACATTTGTCGCCGGTCTACCTGCGGGGCGGCCTTCTATGACATTTGGCTGCGCCCCCACCGAAATGGGAACGCTTCAGGTGACAAGTGCGGGCCGACTATCTCCTGAGGTACGCTTAACAACGACGTGAACCCAGGCTTCCACTATTTCGAAATCGAAGGCGCTGCCCTGGAAGTGCACGACATAACCGGATCAGCACATTCGCGGGCCATTCAAAGCCTACGGTCAGCAAAATCTCAATCAGGCTTCGACCAAGACATGACGAAGTTTGTGGCATTGGCTGAAGCACCGACACAAGACAACTCCAGAAGCCGAACCACCACAGGAGGATTGGCGGCTTCCCACGATATATGAGCAATCGGAAGCAGATCCTGAGGTACATCGTATGGAAGTGTGGTACGCGGGAACACAGGAGCAAAGGGAATTTTTGGAGGCAGCTCAATTAGATGACCTGCGCACTGTGCCCACGCATATGATCACTGACGACAGTGTGCTGGTCACGGCAGCTGAAGAACAGCGGGGGCACCTGCCTACGTGGGGCTATCCATGTGACTCCGACCTCGCGGAGACATGTCATGTCCCACTACGTTCCATTGACGAGGACCATACTTACTGATTGGACTCGAACGGAAATGATCAATATATCGAGCTCTGCTTTACTGCAGGCATATCAAAGGTAGTCCTATCCAAACAGCAAGATCTGATCTAAGACTTCGACCGTGCGACCGCCATGCGAGCGTATGCGACCGCTGCCGCGCAACGAGCCGCGGTCGTCAAGGGGGGTGACCTCCTCGCGAAGGCCGATATTCAGGCGAATCGAGTAAAGGTTTCGAAAGTCATATTAACTGAACTCAATACATGGTTTGACAATCGGTTTTTCAAGCTACAAGATACATCAAAGGCGTCAAACATCGTGACTTCGAGATACGTGTTCAAGTGGAAGTTTGTGAAGAACGAAATGGGCGATGCGGGGCGGGCGCGTAGACTGCGCCCGGTACTTCGATGCGGAAACCTTCCCAGGGACGGCGCGGCGGTCACATCATGGAATTGTTGTCGCTTCGCGAATCCCCGCCAGCCCATCCAGAAACGATGCCCAGAGGAATTGCCTCGATCAGAGAAGTGGGCAGCACACAGAGGAAGCCATTATAAGACATCTTGGGATATCTTGAGCCATCTTGGAGGTCATTTTGGGCTCTCCCAGACGCTCTTGGAGTCATCTTAATCCGTGCCCCCCCCCAAGAGGCCTCCATGTGGCTAAAACCTGTGTAGAATCAATGATTAGGCATTCTCGCCGAGGCCTCTTGGAGCATCTTGGGTGCATCTGGGGGGGCTCTTGGGGCCTCTTGGGGGTCTCTTGGGGGCCTCCGGGGGGCCTCTTGGGGGCCTCTTGGGGCCATTTTGGGGCCATCTTGGGACCTCTTGGGGCTTCCTGGGCGCTTCTTGGGGCCATCTTGGAGGAGATCGATCAAACAAGAGGGGGGGTTTAATTAGCGCCCCCCCTCGGAAGCCCCTAAAATCGCCTCTTGGACCCCTCTTGGAACGCTCTTGGAGTGCTCTTGGGCGCTCTTGGGGCCGTCTTGGGGCTCTTTTGGGGCTCTCTTGGGGCCCTCTTGGGCCATCTTGGAACCATCTCCAGGCCTCGGATGGCCATCGGAAGCGAAAAGGCGAGAAAGCAAAATCATTGATTTTCCTTAGGTTTTGGGACGATTTTGGCCTCTTCGGGGCCTCCTTGGGGAGCTGTTTGGCCACTTGGAGTTATCTTGGGGCCGTCTTTGGGCTTCTTGGAACCATCTTAGGAGCCATCTCGAGCGATCTTGCGCTATCTTGAGCCATCTTGGAGCTCATCTTGGGTTCTCTGAGGCGCTCTTGGAGCCGTCTTGGGCCATCTGGGACGCTCTAACTACCCGCGCCCCCCCCCGTCCAGGTCCAGGGGAGGGGGTAGGGGGAGGGGTAAACCCCTCCCCAAGGGGGAAGAGGGAGGGGTGGAAGAGGATCTGTTCTAGACCACCTACGCCCAGAGGGCTGGTGGGACTATTCGCAAGCACGGCGGCGCGCGAGAAGCAATGGATCATTGCATCCCTTGCCTTTAACATGGCTTTTCTGAAGGGACTGACCCATCGCGAACTTGCTGAGGCAACTGGTGAAAGGGGAGCGTGTGGCGTGCTTTGCACTGCCGCCGCGACCAGCATCGGTGCTTCGATCCCTCCCAGGATTCGAGCACAACGCTGAGTCGAAGCGCTGCTTACAGCGCCTCGAGCTAGGCACCGGCGGCAAGGATGCGCGCAGAGCCTTCTCGCAGGACCACGAGAGGGTTTGGTCGCATCCCCACGTCTTAGGAGGAGTTCGAGACTAGCAGCGACCTTCTCGCAGCCCAGCATGTTGATGATATCGATATGGCCGGCACTGGGGGCAGCGTCGACAGGTGCGTCGAGCGCGTTGAGGATGCTGTTGGTAAGTGTAAACGCAGCAAACTTATATATACAATTGCGCTGCGAGGTATACCGAGGAGGGGGGCGGCAACGTTGCGCTTGATCAAGATGAATACATCGAACAGCTCCGTCCAATGCAGCGCCCTGAACTCACTGGCCCTGGCGCAGACGCCAAAGCATCGAATATGGTCACTGACGTGTTTGTCAGCCTCAGAGGCGCGTTGGCTTACGCATTAATCACGCTTGTGTGGGTGATGGAATGAGTCGTTTCCTTGCAGCGTGTCCAAGAGCAGACCAACCTTTAGGTGCGACGACTGAGCGGGATTACCGCAAGGTTGCAGGCCTGCCCTAAGAAGATCATTCATCGACCTATGACTCCAACGGTCGAAGTCGACCTGCACAGCGACTCCGGCTATCGACGCCTGAGTGGAGATGTTGATGACGAGGTCAAAGGCTATAGTGTTCGCGGGGCAAACCTGCTACGGCGTGGAAGCACGCCAACTGGTGCGCTTGTCGTCCAACTAATCGATGCGCGCTGCAAGTCTCGCCGCCTGCAGGTCCGCTTAAACTACTCAGCAGAAACATTAGCAGCAGCCCACAACTTGGAGGACTGCTATTCCACGATCGTCACTCTGTGCGAACTCCACGCAGGGCCACTGACACACACACACACACTCAGTTGAAGGAGATACTAGAGATGGGCGTCCTCAGCATTAAGATCAGTTGGACCAAAAATGCTGAATCTGTCTTCAAGTCCTTGTCAAGCAAAGACCAGAAGAAGCCGACTGGATGTATTTTTGGGGACACATCAGTTGGATACGACAGATGATGGAGCGAGGTATCGTGCATAGTATACGGTGGTGTGACACTCGCGACATGACCGCGGACGGTCACACAAAAAAGGGGCATTGACAGAGGTATGCTCTGACAGGCCATGGGAGGAAAGCAGTCCTTCAAACATGACTTACAACGCCCTGCTCCGTACCGGGCTGGCCAGGCAACGTCGTCTGAGGCCGCCTGAGGAGTATTCGCTTGCAGAGCGATCTGCTCGCAAGGCAACCTGCGCCCAAGGGCACTTGCGTGCGGGTTCACCTTCCTTTTGAACCTGCCTTTTGATGCCTTTTGTACATGTAGCGTTTACTGTCTAGCGGGCGGCGGGCTCACGCTTCGTCTCCTCCCTCCACGACTCTGAAGGGAGCTGGGGCACAGGCGAGAGATAGCGAGGGTTTGTCCGCGGCCTTTTGTGGTCAAGCGGCCGGCCGCCGAGAGATGACTGTGTATCATCGCGAGGCACACTACTTGCTATCGGGACCGACAACATATTCGCTTGAGATGGCCCGGCGCTCCCGCGACGATTTCCCGCTTCTGGGTCTATCGTTATTACGGTATGGATTTGGGCTTCGCCTTAGGCGAAGCTGCTGATTGGGCCTCCCAACCCCTTTCAAACTTGCTGCCCATACGAGAGGAACTTGTTTTGGATGCGGTGCGCCTAGTGTGCGTCGGCGCCGACGTCGACGTCGGCTGGTTCTCGCAAGTTTTCGGCCTCTCTGAGGGTCCTCGGGCCGGTCCCTGGGGCCGCCCCAAAACGACCCAGGATGAAAAAATGGCCGCAGGGAAAGGTGCAGATTTTTTGGTGGGCCCGCGTCGAAACAAAGTCGCGACGCCTGAGGTATAGGGGCATCTGGCACCGGGCCAGGGAGAGGATCCAGCCGCACGGCCGACGCTCGTCGGTGGTGGTGTTGCGCGATCCTCCGACCTGGTCTGCTTGGCTACGCGTAAGAGTGATTGTTCGCTGGAGTGACTGACCTTGGAAGCGGGTCCACAGGGCCTCCGTGGCATTGGCGTGCGCGCTCGGATTCGCCCCCCCCCCTCCCTGCACCCCCCCTTCACCCCCTCCCCGCCCTCCCCCCGCAGCCCCCTAGAAGCCACTCTTGTCTATAGGGTCCCCCTTGCGCGTCGCTGATCTGCTCGGGGCCCGCCCCTTCGCGGCCTTCAGGTGCTGTGGGCGGGCTGCTCGGATCCGCGAGCCCGCCGCCGCCGTCCTCTTCTGGAGGCTGGGGGTACCGGAAAAGGTGCCGACACCACTGTTCCCTGGATCTCTCCCCAGACTTCTCCTGGGGTGCGCTTTGACCAGGATTTCGAGTCGAACCCAGCCGTGGGGACGAGGGCTTCCCAGGAAGCCCCAGAGAGACAAAAGCGAGGGAAGGGTTGCAGTACGGTGGAGGCGTTCGCTAAGGAATGTGCGCAGGAGGCTTCAGACCTTTGAAGGTTCCTGATCTGATGAAGGCGTCGGTGATATCCATGGCCAAGCCTCAATTGAGCGACGTAAAAACACGGGGTCGTCTTCACCAAGACTGGCGCGGGAGCTGCCCGCGTGAGGTTGCGCATAAGCGCCCTCGTTTCAGCTAAGCTCCTCGTAAGGTCGCCATGTTTTTTCGCGTAAGACCCGCTTGTTTCCGCTGCTTCATTGGTGTTCCATTGGCTTCCAGACCCTGCATGTCTTATCCAATGGCTCCTTATCGAATTCACCATATCGCTTCAGTATCGTCTAACCTATCCCCATCCCCATGGGGCCATGGTATCTCAACCCCACCATCCCACCCCCCAGCGGGGGAAAAGGCACTGCGAAACCCGACGGGAACAGCACATACACATACACATACATATATACAACCATTCATCCATTCATCCATCCATGCATACAGGCAGACAGACATACATAGATACATCCACACATACATGCATACATACCTGCATACACCTACACACATACTGCACACATACACACATGCATGTACGCTTACATGCATGCATTCATACATACACTCATACAAGCATACATACGGCCATATATACACATATACATACATACACATATGTATACATACATTCACATATACGTATGTACATCCGTACACACATTAACACATGCATACATACTCACAAACACACATATATATATATATACATATATATATATATATATATACACGCACACATACATACACGCATCCACACATACATATACATGTATACACATATCTGTATATTTTTAGTATGTACAACACGAGTTCAGTTCAGGAAGCCTCAAGAAACCCACCCACCCGACCCCCACACCGCCCCCGCGGCGGCCAGGGGAAGGGCGAGGAAAGACTAGGGACGTGCAGGCGAAACCTGTACAGTAGGGTGCGTGCCTCAGGCGAAGCCTGTACATAATGAAATAAGCAGCAAGCGTCACTCACGATTATCACGATAATCAACTCCAATTTTCAACAGAGCACGAGATGACCAACGCCATATCACATGTCACGTTACAGTCCTGACGTGCTGCAAACATGCCTCCATTCAATATCCCTCGGCCGAGGGCTTCAAATCTTGATTGACCTCATCCACTTCATCAAAGGAAATCTGAACTCCCAGCAGTACTCTGAGAACGGGCTCTGAGATGATGCCGAACCCCGGTGTCCGACCAGAATCAGTATATGGCTTTGCACTGACCTCAGAGCCAAACCCCGCTAGCGTACCGCAGCCCATCAAACTGAGAATGGGCCCATCTGCCGAGACGAAACCAGAAGGGTGGGCGAGTAGTGGGCAGCTGGAGCACCTCGCGCGCGGTGAGCGGCGACCTGAGCACCGAGGCGTCGACCGCCGCCTCGATAGCATCCTTGACCCTAGTCGTGATGCGCTCCAGCTCACCTCCCGGATCGGCACCTGTCAGGGCCCATAGTGGATTGGCCCACTGAAGTTCAAACCGTAAACGAGCGAAATAATAGCGAACTGCTAACACTTCCTCTTCAACAAGGAGCACCTCCCAGTCCCAGATGAAGAAGCTCTCCGTAAAGTTGAACTGAGAGGAGAGCCGCGCCGCAACTGGAGCCTGGACTGACACAGCGTTGATTGATCCCCACAATTCCACCGCCAAGTCATCTGGAACAACTGTCAAGCCGCGCTCGAGCTCCTTCATCATACTAGGGCGAGAGCGTGCCCCGATGTCCACGACGAAACGACCGCCTGTCACGTTCAGGCGACATCCCAGCAGATCTATGCCCGACCACGCTTCGTCAACAAACGTAGCCGAATTCCTTGCAACTGAAAGCGCAACTCCGCTCACGGCCATGGTGAGATTCCTGGCCGCGAGCGCCACAGCTCCACCTGCCCCTGCCACGTCCTCCACCAAGGACGCCGCAGCCTCGGCGCTCCTGGACATGTTAGGGAAGATATTCGACGGGAAAGTGACGAAAAGCATCATGAGGAGGATGACAGGGACGAAGCACGGGCCACACACTGACCTGATCACCTTACTGTGATTGACAGCCATCTTGACGAAGCTCACCTTGGAAACCCTGGCCTGATGCAGTCTGGGCTGGGTCTGGGCGTAGAACTTCAGCCCTCCTGGTATCGCGTGTCCTGCTGCCTCCGGAGGGGGTGCTGCGAGCACTGTTGGCGGCGGCGACATCCCAGGGCTCTTGGCCTTGGGCGGCGTGAGCACCAGCGAGACCGCCCCTGGAGAAGCCGCTCTGGACGCCGCCCCCGACGGAGGAGCGCTGGTACACTGAATCCAGCTGGTGGGTGTCCCGGGCGTGCTCGGCAGGGGTGGTGCGTGCTCCATCCATGCCAGCTCGGGGCCTTGACCCAGCCCCCGGAGGTCTTGTCCTTCACGTAGCCCTTGGGAGCCATGTGCTGGTAACCGATGCGCTCCCCAAATGAGCGCTGGAAAGTACTGGCGCCAGCCCCTCTTGAGCCAGTACAGCTGTTGCGCGAAGCCCTTCGTGTTTAACTGGGTGAGGATGTGGCTCGCACCGACGATGTCGAGATAATGCGCAAACTCCCATCCGAAATCCACCTCCCTCGCTCCCAAACTTCTTCAAACGAGAGCCCCACGGCCCTCGAATCACTGGCCCATCCTGCTCTTGGGCTGTGAGGCCCCCACCCCATGGATAATCCAAGCGAGCCCTCGGTGTCCTTGAGAACCTTGCGGTACTGAGCCAAGCTGTAGGGGAAGAGCGGGGTCCCAGCCGGGGTGGCCTTCGTGATGTCCTCTGGCACCTCCATGATGTCCCGTTCCTCCTGAAAGATACGGGCCACCTGGGGCCTCTTGTGCTTCGTCCCCGTCGGAGCCCCAAGAGCAACGAATACCGCGGCGAGGTTGATGTTCTCGCCCAGATCGCGAGGGAAGATGAGGTCCTCAGGTAATATTCCCAAGAGCTCCGAGGGACGCAAACCCGTGTGGCACTGCGCGATGAGAGCAAGGCTCAAGCGGGGGTTCCCCTTGGAAGCTATGTGGACCCCAAGGAGCTTGCCAGGCAACTTCCCGAGAGGCACCGTGTGTTTGCGTCCCACATTTCTTTCCCATCCAGCAATAACTTCCTTGCTCCACAGAAGTTTACCTTGCATCCGAGGGAAGAAGAACTCCACTGACGCAACAGTATTCACGAACTTAGCTGGAGAAGGGTGTACAATCTGATCATTTTTGAACTCAACTAAAAGATCGTCCCGTTCGTCAGCGCCGCTGGGACGTAGGCCGCGCTGAAGGGCCCAAGTCGAGAACCTGAGCCCAGCGCTGCGATAAACTTCTAAAGTCTTCTCGGTCACCCGAGCAGCCTGGTCAGGGTCGACTGGACGAGGTCCCGCCCGCCGAGCACACCAAGCCACGCCGCTTCCTTCTAGACAACTCATCTGCTGTCTGGTGTGCGGTGTCCACCCAGGGTAAATATAGTTTGATGCCCGTCGCCATTGAAAGTGCACTGATCTTCCTCAGCAGGTAGTTCATATGCGGGGCCGATGAGCGCCCCTTCGCCGCTGCTGAGGCCAACGGCTCATTGTCCTCCATGTTGCAGATGGCGTGATCATGAGCTCCTGGAAGCAGAGAGAGAGAGAGAGAGAGAGAGAGAGAGAGAGAGCCTGGCATAGTCTGACCACGGCGCGGCCCTCGCCCAGAATGATGTGATCCGGGACTCGCCACCTTCTGCATCCAGCTCGTGCCGCATTCCTTGCGGGATCTGTAGCATCTCACGCGGCATGCGTGAGACTGGGATGCGCCCTCGTAGTTCACGGTCGGCACGATTCAAGTGTAGGACCGTGCCGTCCAGACTTGATACAGTATGGCCAGGCCTCGTCCCTGCTCCTATCACCTCCTCCGACTCCTCAATGGTGATGGGCGTGCCGACAATGCCATATCCGCCGTGATCGATCCGATTGGCACCCTCCGCGTCCGACGCGAACAGGAAAGGGGTAGCGGGCAGGTCCAGCACACAGGGCATCATCGGGATACTGTCCCTCATGACGCGCACCTCACGGTGGACCGACGCCCACCAGCGCACGACCTGCCCCTGCCTCTTCTCCAGTAGGTCGAAGACAGCGGCTGATACGGCCATGAGCTCGCGCCTCAGCAGCGCTCCCCACAGCGCACGCCCATCAGGGCCCTGAGCAACTCCACGTCTACCCAGGGCGTCTCCATGATCAACGTCAGCGCCGCCTCCAAGTAGCTGGCTTTGGCACTCGCCAGCTTCAGGCGCGGCGGACAGTTCTGCAACTCATAGCCCGCGATCTTGGAGCCCTCCTCGATCTTTTCGCGCTCGTTGACGACGAACCCGGCCTGCTCCCACGCGTCGGCGACCTTCTGCATCATCTGCTCGCTCATCTTGTCCGCTGATCCTCCCCTGGGACACGCTGCGGCGCTCAGCCCGTCGTCCACGTGAACGTAGATCGCCTGAAAGCCAGGGCGCAGCCTCACGCAGCCACCCCGGCGGTAGAGCTCATTCAGCACAAAGAGGCCTTCCTTCTCCTTCTCGTAGCTCCATTGCGTGTGACGAGGCTTCTCACGCCCCGTCCTCAGCCACCCACCTGGTCCACGACCCGTGGTCAGCATCCGCAGCGCCGTCTTGACCACGCTCAGGGTGATCATGCGGCACAGCCCGGGGGGTAGGCCTGTAGCCTGCCGCGACCTGAAGATGCCGCGCTCATCCTTCCCAAAGGCCTTCTCATGACGGTGCTTGCCATCACGGAACAGCGCCTGCTCCTCGATGCCGTCCAGGTTCGAAGCCAGGGTGGTGG